TCTTTATGGACTGAAACAAGCATCGCGACAATGGTATATAAAATTCCAAGAGACTCTTGCTCTTGCAGGATTCTTTACAAATAATGGGGATTATTGCATATATCAAAAGGTCAGTGGGAGTGATGTGGTCTTTATATCGTTATATGTGGATGATATGCTAATTGTTAGTAGCTCAATTGCCCTAGTAGTAGAGACGAAAAATTTCCTTGCATAACACTTTGATATGAAGGATCTTGGAGAAGCTTCATATGTGTTGGGTATCAACATAATAAGAAATAGGAGAGAGAAGATTATTCAACTTTCCCAGGCAACCTACTGTAAGAGGATACTGGAAAAGTTTGATATGAGTATGTGTAAGCCCATGTCAACCCCAATCGACAAAAAGACGAAGCTTAATAATAAAATATGTCCTACCGAAGACATGGATATAAGAGCCATGGAGAGAGTGACATACAGGAGCGCAGTTGGGTCCCTTATGTACGCCATGGTGGAAACAAGGCTTGACTTATCCTTCGTCATGAGTCTGGTGAGCCGTTTCCAAAGCAATCCAGGAGAAGAGCATTGGAAAGCAGTAAAAAGAATTCTCAGATATTTAAAGGGGATCATGAACTATGCCCTCACATATAAGGGGAGAGCTGAAATAGCAATAGAGGGTATTCAGATGCAATGCTATCTCGCGGATCCAGATGATACGAAGTCTACATCTGGGTATGTGTTTATGCATGGAGGGGGTGCGGTTCTTGGAAGTAAAAAAAACAAGATATTGTGGCTTTGTCCACCATGGATTAAGAAGTTTCTTAATCAACTTAATTTCCATCCTGTACGTTGTGAGGTGGTGCGAATTTTCTGCGAGAACACGACGACTATTTGTGTCTCTAAAGAGCCTCGGTTTCACAAGAATTCCAAGCATATTAAGGCATACTTTTATCACTTGAGAAATGAGGTGAGATTGAAAGAGATCAGCTACATATTTATAGATTTGATGATTGCAGACCCTCTGATTAAGGGAGTTGTCTCTAATATTTTTATAAAACATATGAGAGAGATGGGGATGAGAGAAAGTGAGGAAGAGAGAATGTAAGGCCTTCAAAGGCCAAGTGGGAGATGTTGGGTTTATGAAGCCTTTAAAGGCCTTATGAGTGTGTAATGAAAAACATTTATTATAGTGGAACATAAACTCAGTGGGAGTGTGGTCCCTCGAAAACCATACCAAGCAAATGATATTTGTGGATACCGGACTGTGCTTGACGATCTAGGCCAGTCGGCTGAAAAATCCAAGATACCTGAGCATAAAAATAAATTGAGAAGGGTTTTTGGGTTAGCCCTTAATGAGGTCAGAGCTTATGCCTAGATGAGTAAGTCGAGGGATTGTGTGACCCTTGTATGTGATGGTAGGCCTACAGAGATGGGGGCCAAAACCTCATCCATGTTCTATCACACGGCATGCATATAGATAGATTGTTCAGGAAAGCTAGATATCCACCTTTGGGTGAAACATATGCATGTGAGAGATACCCCTATGCGCCATAGAACTGTGGACGCATCAGGTCATGGTGACCTTGACTTCTTTAGTGGAGGCCCTGTAATCCACAGACTGAGATTGCGACTCCTCGGCTCATCGA